CTTTGAACGCGGCATTATAGAAGAAACTCAATTAAAATTTTGTTATTTTTTATCTCCCTCCTTTTTTGCTCCTCTATTTTACTCTTGTTTTCTGACTGAGGAGGAGATTCGTTGTGCAACACATAAAAGGCTCGTTCAATTTCCGGTTCACTGACGTTTTTTTATTCGGTTTTAATATCCGTTAGAAGGCGGTGGGAAGAATAGACAGAATAGCGTTTGAAAAATATAAGGATCCCGTTATCGGTTAGCTGTCTATTTTCTGATTTTCGGATATCGGATGTTTACAAAAGTATTCCCAAGAAGTGAGTTTTTTTTCTGGAAATTTCAGAGAATCCGCTGGTGGAAATGAGATTCTAATCTCCAGTTAAACGCAGCAAGCTCGATCTTGGACTTCATACTTAATACCATAATACAATAATAAAAGCCCACCTTGTACGTGCAATTTGAGCTCAATTATCTTAATTCTTCTTCAAGATATCAAAAATGTGTCAACTGATAAAATGCTTGTGATTTTATGACAAGCAATTTATCAGTTGGCAACTTTTTCATATCTTTGACAGGAACCTAGATAAATTGGCTGAAAGTGGAAAGTTGATGGGATCGGGATTTTCTATTTTACAGGTTTTACGGTATACAAATCTGCAGTTAAACGTAGCAAGTTTGATCCATAATTTTGGGAAGTTTATGCCAACTAGTTTCTGAAAGTCAAAATATGGTTTTGTCCGACAAGTGATTAGATTTAGAATTTTAAAAATTTCAAGAAATATCTCACAGACTTGAGTTCATATTTTTTAACCATCAAAAGTATATTGGAAAGAAACTGAATTATTTTGTGACTGGCTCCGCATTTTTTTCTTGCCGAAAACTCAAAAAAGCATTCTGAATAGAATCTCCAAAGTTTTAAAACAATACCATATTTTCCCTCATTAGCCTAGTTAGATAGTTAGGGCTTATTTTCTCTTGAACGACTTTGAATTCAATACGTGACTATTTCAATCTATACGTCACCTCCATTTGTCCAAGACGACGTCAATCCGGGATGTTTTTCGGTCCGGAAATTAATTTTGAGAATCTCTTCTTCTCCAGGAGACACTGACTCATTCCTATTCTCTTTGTCTTCCTTTGTCCAAAAAATCTGAAAATTTCGTTTCGTGTTCAGATGGCGTGCATCTTAAAATTTCATATTCCCAGAACTTCCATATTTTCAGATGTGAAAAGCCTTTACAAAATGCATCTCCAGAGACCACCTTCCTCTTTTCACACTTCGATTTCTGCGAAACCCGATGTTGCATGGTCATCGTTTTTGATGGTCTACTCGTAAGTATTTCCAGAAAGTTTTCACTGATTTCCAGAGTTTATTGTTTTCAGCATTCCATTTGTCTTGGTTCTCACCGTGGCGTGTATCATAAAATGGCGACCAATCAGAGAATTTCCAAATATCAAGAGCTTTTTGAGGTATGCCTCATAAGAGAGATTATAAAAAATCATAAAGAAGAAATCATACTCACTTGAGACTTGTAACCAGAGATGTCCGGAATTCGGATTCCGGATTCCGTGAAAATTATTTTAGTCCGGATTCCGTATTCCGGATTCCGGAAAATTTTCATTTGTCCGGATTCCGTATTCCGTTTCTCAAAAAAGTCATTCCGGACATCTCTGCTTGTAACCTAGAAAATTGCAAGGATTACTGTAGGAAAAAATATTTGAAAATGGAAAGGATTACTGTATCATTCTCGTATACAAAAATCAAAACTGTAGAAGAGAGAATCACCGCCAAACTACCATAATCATCAAATATTTTTTCTAGGTTTTCGTCTGCTTTCCAGCAGTTTTTAAAATTTTTTAAAATGTTTATTCTCCGACTTGTTTGGATGTTTTCAACAATTGTCGAAAAAACAATAGTAATCTAGAAAAAAGGACCGAAAATTTTAGGTTACGGTGGTCTTCGTTACGGGGGCCGTTGACCACGCCCAAAACAGTTTCTCTTCCACAGCTCCAATAGTTTTATGCAAGCATAATGACACGAATTAGATTTGGGCCTTCCAAATTATGTCTATTCTAAAAAAAGATTTTCCAGTTGGTACTGCTCTTGCTCTCCGAAAAAAGTGATTCAAGAACTAGAACAACCCGACCGGGCCCATATGATCATGTCGATTGATGCTCTGGTATCTAAAATAAAATCTTTATAATCATTCAATAAAATATTTGAAGAGTCTCGCCTCGATTTCATCTGTTATCGACTCGCCACTTCTTGTCCGTTCAGAAGACGAGGAAAGTCGACAATTCGAATCAACTGCTATTCCATGAAAAAGGCTTGCCTCTAAAATAAAACAAAGGATCGCTCATCTCTGTTTCTCATTTTTGCCATTTCTCTGTGATTCGCTATGCTTCATCATAAATCATTACTAATAACATTCACCAAATTCTGTATGTCCAGATGGATATCGCGTGCCTTTACACCCACTCAAAGTTAACCGTTTGAGCTGAAACCTGCACAGGCGAATCATAAATTTTTATTAGTTGATGTCCGAACTTTTCGTTCCTTGAAATTATAATTTGGAAGTCATCCGGAGACATTCCTTTGTTTCGGGAAAAATGCCGAAGGTGGAAATCCCGAATATAGTGCAACATGCCCACGAATTTTAACTTTGAGCCAAGTTATCTCGGTTCCTGTGCAAGATATCGAAAAAAAGATCGTCTGATAAAATGTTACTAATATTACGAGGAACATGCTTTTAGTGGACATATTTTTGATATCTGAAACAGGCAATCAGGTTCAAAGGAACGCTCTTTTTATGGAGTTTTACAGATTTCAAAAGGAAAAAAATTCAAGTGATATTTAAACGTGGTGAAAAAAATTATTTAGAGAAACTCACGGCCCTGAATGACCCATTGACCTCAGAGAGAATACTATAAAGGAAGAGGGAAGTGAAGAGAAGAATCAGTTCTACCTTCTCTGAACTTCAGAGAAGGTGACCCGGGGAGGGTTCTGGATCCTGGGATCCTCGGGTGAACTGGAACCGGGTGACTTAGATCCGGGTGACTTAGATCCGGGTGACCTGGAACCGGGTGACCTGGCTCCTGGATCCGGGCGACCTAGATCCGGGTGAGCTGGGTCCGGGTGACCTAGATCCGGGACCTAGATCCGGGTGACCTGGATCAGGATGACCTGGGTCCGGGTGACCTGGATCCGGGTGACCTGGGTGCCTGGGTCCCTGGATCCGGGTGACCTAGATCTGGGTGACCTGGACCCGGGTGACCTGGATCCTGGAACCGGGTGACCTGGAGCCGGGTGACCTGGGTCCTGGATCCGGGCGACCTAGATCCGGGTGAGCTGGGTCCGGGTGACCTGGGTCCTGGATCCGGGCGACCTAGATCCGGGTGAGCTGGGTCCGGGTGACCTAGATCCGGGACCTAGATGGGTGACCTGGATCAGGGTGACCTGGGTCCGGGTGACCTGCATCTGGGTGACCTGGGTGCCTGGGTCCCTGGATCCGAGCGACCTAGATCCTGGTGACCTGGATCCGGGTGACCTAGATCCGGGTGACCTAGATCCGGGAGACCTGGAACCGGGTAACCTGGATCAGGGTGACCTGGGTCCTGGATCCGAATGACCGGGATCCGGGTGATCTGGGTCCTGGGTCTTTGGTTTTTTTTAAATGTGTTTTTGTAGGAAATCAAACATTCAGGGAAGCTGCCGAATTAGGAATTTCTAAATTTCCAATTTCCGAATATACCTTGAAAAAAACTTTCCCTGAAAAATTGACAAAGACTTTCTATAAGATTACGGGTACTGAAAGCGGAGCCCAGGAGGTTTAGCCCCGGAGGGGCGTTAACCAACCGGTAGTTTATCATTGAACCATTTTTTTCTGGAATTCACAAAAATAACCAAATGCTAATTTATTGTGTTATCTGTTATAAACCCGTCTCTTGAATTGAAAGTTGGACTCGAAATCGAAGAAGAATGATATACAAATGAATGGGAGAAAAAAGAAAACAAGGGGGCTAACGGCTATCGAGGTGGCGGCGGTGGAAGTGGCAGATCTATTCCATTCCCACCACTCTCTGCTCGGATTGGAATCGGAGGAGGAGGTGCCGGTCGATCGGGTAAACGTTCGTAGACACTTTCTACAAAATTCAAGATCAATTGAGTTTATAAGTGTAATAGGTTGGTGCATAAGTTTCTTTCGATTTTGAACGGTCAACTTTGAAAATTGATATCTAGTCAGTTGGGTGGTTTTCTTGAAGGATGTATTCTTGTTGGGTAGAGTATCTCACGGACTTGCTTTACATATTTTGCTTCATTCCTACTTCTTACCGTTCGCGTGCACGGCACTGGCTTCCGTCCCTTACCATTTAGACTTTCAAAATGGCATTTTATTTTTATTCCTTTCTGGTTTAAAAAGGCATGTTATTCACAAGAAAATAATAGAAATAGATGAAGAGGGACCTCTTACTACTTCTACCATCAAGCAAAAAATCCTACTAAAAATCCTACTGAAACCGATTCGCTTCAAACCACTTGAAAAATGTCAAAGGCATTGTCAGTTAGTCAACCAAGTATTGTGACCGGAGTGAAGTCTCCTGGCAACTTCAAGAACTGGGTCGATTCGTAACCTATGCTTTGAAGGACGACAATATGGATCGCCGTGTAGACATGGGCATGTTTCTCCCATCATTTCTTGACACCTTCAGTTGCGTGAATGATCTAATCCCTGTAGATAAAAAGTGTGTAAGTTACTCTATCAATGCGCGGAAGGGTCAGTTGATTGCCAAAGGACAGCTAGCTCTGGACGTCTCGGAATCCAAATTTCCCGTGAAAATGGGTATGCTACGTGCTTGATTGTCTGTCAAAGGAGTGGAGACTGGGAACTTTAAGATGAATGTACCAATATAATGACCGTCATATACAGTTCATAGTTAGAGAAATTGAATTTGGCAGTCGAATCGGAACAAGGAGAAAAAACAAATGTTTGCTTCCAACACAACAGTGCGAAATCGTCTGACACTAGAGGGATCAGCCAAAAACTCATGCCGTTTGGCTGGACTATTCTTTTGCACCCATCGTAATTTCCGGGCCTTGTATTTTTAAATGAATGATTGTTTGGGGCTCTTAGACGTCATCTTGATAGAAAAGACTTCCATCGAAAAGATGACACAAAAAAGGAGTTGATCCATTCTTTCAATCGCAGTCCTCCTCGTCTTGGGCCAAAGGAAACAAGAAATTACCAGAGCGTTACCAGACAACTATCGATGCTCATGGACATTACTTTCATTGTTCTAGCCCCCACCGCTTTGAGAAAAATTTGACCAAAAATTTTGCCAAAATGGAAAGAAACTTATGCACCAACCTAATATTATTATCGAGTACTGATATAGAATTAATGTTTGATAATGTTTTTTGGAATTATTTCGAGTCTTCAATTTATCCAAGACTATCGTAAACCCTGCAATAGAAGGACACCCACAATTTCAAGTCTGAGCTGATTTTTCTTGGCTCCTATGTGTTATTTCAAAAAATTGTCAACTGATAAAATATTGGTGATGTTATGATACATAATTCATCAGTCGACAACTGTGTTATATCTTTCACAGAAATCGAGAAAAATCAGCTTAAAGTTAAAAGTGAAGGGGCCTTTCTATTACAGGTTTTACGGTAATCACCGGTATAAAATTGTCCAACTTGTATACCTGATTGATAGATTACTGTATCCGGAGGAGTGTCATAAATCGGTTCGTGGTCGAATGAGTACAATATTTGAGATGGTGTTGGCGATGGAGGAGGCATTGAAGAATTGAACAACATTGAAGATGGCAATGATGGGCGACCCATCTGACGGCCAATTGGCAGAGTGACATGAATGTTTCCGTTTGGAAGTTGTTGTAATTGAAGTAGATGGGGTGGGACCTGTATCATCATTTATTAAAAAATTTCAAACGAAGTATCTTACTTCCATATGTGCAACAGTTGGAGCGTAATAAATGACTGAATCTGGTCGTTGAGGTGGAATCGAAGGTGTTGCATAGATTGCAGCATTTGAAGCGTTCAATTTGTCACGAGATACCGATAAGTCTCCGTTTGAATGGTTCGTAGATTTTGCGAATTTCGTAATTCCGTAGCACAGAACTGCAACTATAACAGAGGCCAGAACCGCCATAGCAATGGTGCTATCTGAGCCGCCACTGTTGGATTGGTCATGGGAGGTTGATCCTTTGATCTCTTGGAGAGTTGCAATATCTGAAATAGAAAAAGTTGATTTAAGATTCTATGGTTTTAAGATTGTTGAATTCCGTAGTTTCAGAAAACCGCAAAATTCAAAATGTTTAAAAGCTTGTGAATTTTTAGAAAGTTCTCAAATTTTCAAAACTCTCAAATTCTCAAAATTTCGAAACTCGAAAATTCTAAAATGGTAGAATTCTCAAAATTATGAAATTCTAAAATTTTAAATCTCTCGGAAATCTCAAAAATCTGAAGTTCTGAAGAACTGTCATTAAAAAACATTCCGAAAAATGTTGTGTTTTAATAGAGGACTCAAGGAATTAGAAAAATATGTCTCCTTAAGAAACAGTGTCCTACCGGGATTTCTGTTTATTATCCAAACCCGAAACACGTACCATAGCAAAATGGAGTAGCTGGATGCCATTCCCCTCTATCTCCACACATCAGAGACTCTGGACCAATCAAACGGAATCCTTGATGGCACGTATAGTTTGCTGCCGATTCATACGTCGTCGATTCAACATCAACTCTACCATTGGCAATCAAAGGTGGTCTACCACAGTCGACAAGTTCACAAGTCGGCTCAGAACTGCTCCATGATCCATCTGATTGGCAGATTCGACGAAGAGATCGATATGATGGAGACGGAGAGTTGGCAAGATGCCAACCATTAGAACATTCGTATTCAACTTCACTCTCAAAAAGTGTTGTCTTGTTCAGTAGTTTTATTCTTCCAAACTTCCATTGCCGAACTGCACCGCACGATTTTCCTGAAACATTGGACTCAATCATCAATTATTTTTCTTACAACAACTTACGATAGCAATTCGGAATGCTTCCAGTCCATCTTCCATTCTCTGCACACTCCCTCTGTCTGATTCCATGTAGATCATATCCAGCATCGCAAGAATAGAAACACAAAGTTCCGATTGCGTAAGAATTCGATGAGAATGTGACTTTCGTCGCTTCTCCCACTCCCGGAGACGTACAAAATTTGGGCTTCGACTGACAGAGGAACGAATTCCACGCGGTTTGAGACGCTGGAACCCATTTCCAATCGAGCGGACGCGCCAGAAGAACAGCTTCTGATGCAGATGGTACAGGAGATGGTTGACCCGGCCAGTCAGCACTATCTCCAACTCCTTCTCCATCCACCCATCTCCATTCGATCATTGATGAAGATGCACCAATCCAGTAGAAGGCTTTGGCAAATGAAGAGGCAGTGAGGGATGCTCGAAGGCCTCTTCTGGTGGAGTCGTCTATTCGGAGAGGGAGAGTGGAACCTCTATGAAAGAAAAGAGATAAAGATGAAACGAAGATATAGAGGATACCTGTCCAGACACTTTCTCTGAGCTCCCAACCAATCGGTTTGCTCATCTCGACTCGCAGCGTAACACATTCCACCGAACACACCAACAACTTCCATTTGACTCTGAGCACATTGCCATGGAGATACTGAAACATTATATCTACAGGGTGACCGATAATGATATGATGTTTCTAAACGTCTCCCATTTTTTAGAAAAACGTTTTATAACTGTAATAACTTTACCAAAATATTCAAAATATGTAAGAATTTTAGTTTTATAACAAGTAGTCAATGATTAGAACCACGAGCTTTGACAGAAGCCTCCAAACGCATGATAAAAAATTTGGCTGTGAGGCGACTGTAGTTGACGTCAAAGTCGTCCTAGAACTTTTGAAATAGACTTTACAGAAAGTCCAAAAAACAGTAGAAGATTCCTGAGATCTGTTCTTCAAGAA